GAAACTCTGCTCTCCGATTACCAATTCCGATTGATTGATTCATTCATTTTCTACGGTTTATCAACCCTTTGCAGGTTTTTAAACCATTACCACACTAATTTCTTTCTAGAATTGTTCTCCACCTGCTGCTACATTTTTTTTTTTTTTAGGTTGCAAAAACATGAACACCTATTGTTTTAAAATTGTTATAACTTTCTTTGTATTGTCTGTACAAACTTGATTTATTGTATACTAATAAAGGGATGGATGAGTAATATTTTGATGTAATGCATTATGTTCTGCATGCATGTTTTGAGGTTGAAAACAAAAAAATTCAAATGCGAAATAAAAAATAAATACATTAAAAAATACATAAATAATTCAACATACTTTAACTTTTATTACTCCCTGTGGAGTTATGGGGCAATAAAAAGCAAAAAAAAAAAGCAAAAAAAAAAAAAAAAAAAAAAAAAAAAAAAGAAAGGTGATGTGTTTCCTCATGTTTACATACGAGAAGACACCAGCATTTGTTTGCTCTTTCTTTCACCTGACTCATATTTATTTGTCTTGTTGATGAATAAAGTTATTATTTTGTCGTTTATAAATAGGCAAAATAACCCACCTTCAGAAAAGCTATCAGATATACCAATCTAGTGGTCATCGTCACTTTCCTTCATGTCACTAGCATGATTATCATCTCTGACCACTTCCCTATCATTATCCACTCGAGTAAAGCCTTCAAAATCATCATCAAAGTGTTAATCAAAGAAAAACTCCTGAATAAAGGCTTTGTTGTATATTGACACGGCCATTTTTGTTTACAAAATATTGCAAAAAAAATTAACGTGGGTTTAATCAATGTTACTCGTGGAGAGTCTAGAAGAATTCAAAATGACATTGGAAAACAAAAGTTTACCTTGTTCCAAAGTAGCAGTAGGCAATTTCCAGCTTAAAATACCGGAAATAAAAGTTGACAAGTGTTTATTTATAGCAACCGTTTTAGGTGGCAGAAGTCGCCGATAGTGGTAAGGGAGAAAATTCTATAGAGACTATTGTCACCTGCAGTGTGGTAAAGGTTAAACCAAAGTAATATTTTTAGATTGTAATTTTTTTTTTTAAAGGAGATAATAATGGTTTAGTGATACAATTTTTACTAATTAACCTATAGCTGGGGGTGGGTGAAGAAGTGGATTCATACCTTTCCTAAGGGTATTTGCATGTAAGTGAATATAATGAACTCGGATGGAATTGGAACTTGGTTCTCCAATTAACAATTCCAAGCCATTATCCATTACACAACCTGCACACCCAAGCTTACAGTACATGGTATTCCCAAACAGTTATTCATCTAAATATTGAACATGCTTGATGTTGCTTAACTTCAGTGATATGGCCATAAGCATTTTCAAGTGGAAGGAGACAAATCTTGATTTTAGAATACAATGAAGTAATCGTAGGTGTCCAGATTTTAACACCTTTAGTGCCATTTTTGATGTGTGTAGGCCAAGTATAAGACAATGGGGATTCCCTGGAGATTAATATTTCCTGGAAAGCAGGTATTAGAGCCATGTGCAGAGAACAAAATGAAAACAAGGTGCACATTTCAAGAAGAGGGGCATTTGGTATATAACAGGTCAAGTAGCAAAGCATTAATTAATGACTACAGTGCATAACATGTTAGCGTACCAATTTTGCAAGCACTGCAAAGCCTTTTCAACAAAAACATTTTGCAAGATTTTACTATCTCTGTATGCCAACAGATCTTCAAAAGTCAAAGAGATTGGGAATTGCCAACAGATGAATATCATGATCAAGTATATATAATCTGTGTTATAAATGTGACATTATATAATGTTTCATTAAAAATAACTGACAAGGTACTGCAATTAAGCTTTTTTATTTAATTTTTACACATACAACACTTTCACCACATCATTATATAAAAAACCCACTAACAGAAACATTTGTCACCTTAATTTTAAGAGTGAATACCCACTCAGATATAAAATAGCAGTTATAAAAAATTTCCCAAAGAGAGCAATTGAGAATTAATCTTCTTGCTTACTTTTTTCTTTAAAGACATCAACAATGCAAAACAGACACTAGTTAATAAAGGTTTACCCAACTATCTCATCGGTCACCAGATTAGACTATTTCTTTCCAAAATAATGATACTGACAGATCTTGACAGCTATTAAGGAGATGTGATTACATATACTTTAATGTTTAAAAAATTTATTCAGTGTTATTTTTGTTTAGGTAATAAGCATTAGCACAAATAGCTATATTGTGGAGAAAGGAATTTTTAACAATATATGCATTTTTTATGTATTTATGGTTATTTTTTAACTTTTATTAAAAACGATATTCTTGTACATGTAGTTATAGATATTATACATTAATTATTAATTTTTTTAATTAATAACTATTTGTGCTGAGTTGTTGACATTAATAGCTATCTGCTGATGTGTTAAAATTTTGGAATAATGCAATAATAAAAATTTAAATTTCATCTCTCTGATGTTGCAATCTGTGAATATGCAGACAAAAATAATAACATTAACATCTTCTACAAAAGCCAAATTCATGTCAACTATAAACAAGATGAAATTTTCACTTAGAAATATAAAAAAATACACTACGCCAGTTGACCCAAACAAGAAAATTAAATTAACTATTGCAAAATTTTTTAAAAAGTTAACCTTATCAAAAATAACAACACACCTGCAAAATCAAAACTACAAAGAACCAACATCATTTACGAGTTCAAATGCCCCTTAAGAAACTGTGTTCTTGATCAAACCAAAATCGTAAATTATTACATCGGTCACACTACTACATGCCTATCCAGATGATTTATGTTACACCTATCCGACCACAGCTCCATCAGAACTGATTTAAACACACACAAAAACCTATCAGACTCCATCTGAAACATACTAGCAGAAAATACAAGCATAACAAGCTTATCAACATGTAAAAAAAGATTAAAATTAATTGAAGCCTTAATAATTAAAAAAAAAAAAAAAGACAACACATAACTATAAACACGTCCACAATGTGCTGACCGTGTTTGGAAAATAAAACATCCTCATAACTCTAGATAAATACATTAACACATATATTCAGTTAAAAGTAAAATAAAATCATCCTTGATAATGACTAAAAGTATAACCAAAAGTGCTAAGAAATGCAGAACGTTTGGACAGTTTTTACAAACTGTGTCAAGAAAAGAAAACACTTGTATGAACACAAGAAAAATAAAATAAAAAGCTTAATCACAGTACTTTGTCAGTAATCTTTAATGAAACATGTATAAAAGGGGGATTGCTGCCAAAATACACAATTGTGAGTGTGTTACACATCAAGATTCCCCTTTCTAATAAGATATTCCATTGTTATGGTAACAAAGGACATTATTTGACACCAATAAGCAATCATGCTTTAAATTGTCACAATAAAATAATTCATTAGTAAGTAGGTGAGATCAGGCTGTTAATACACTACTTTTTTTTTTTTTTGGTGTTAAATTACTTAGGATATTTTGACTTTCATGATTTTACAAAGGGGTGCTGACAAGTACCCAAAATCAGTATTTTAACAACTAAACATCAGAATACTGGCTTTGGAAAGTGTATTAGATAGAGAACTTTTCTGCATCCTCTTCTTATAAAAAGCAAAATTCTTTCTAACATGTGACCACAGAGTTAACTGCGGAGATAAAAATCCTAGATTACGGTATGCAGACAATATAACCAATGCAACTGGAATATGACTTAAATATTTACTGTTGCTTTTTGATTGCATAGATAAACTAAGATATAAGAAAACAATGCATGTCAATACATCTGTCTCAAGACAAGTTTAAAAATATTTACCGTCACTTTTTGATTGCATAGATAAACTAAGATATAAGAAAACAATGCATGTCAATACGTCTGTTTCAAGTTTAAAAAAAAAATAAAAAAAATAACATACTACTTATTGTTAGATCAATATGTTTTGAGAGGGGATGGTAAAATTTTTTTTTTAGGCAATGCTATTACCTAATATATTTAATTTCCTATTTATTTACATCACTTGGTCAATAATAAATAAAATACACAAAAAATAAGTCAAACAAATTTATAACTATTTACATTTGAACTATTGTCCTCATTTTTGACTGTTTTTTGTTCCACTGCCCATGTCTAGGAATATCTTGCCTAGTTTTTATTTTTAGTATTGCTCGCCTTGTTTACACACTGCCCGGATATTGTCCCATAGTCGATTAAAGTGTTGGTTTGTGAATTTGGTGACTTAGTAATTGTGAGTTCGATCCCTGAGCTGGGTAGTGAGTACTTGAACTTAGTGGAAACCGGGCGAGCAATAACTGAGCAGTACTAAAAATAAGAATGAGACAAGATATCTCTAGGCATGGACAATGGAATGAGAGTCTGCCCCCAGAGATTAAATATATGGCCCGTTCAGATTTCCTTGTAGATTACCCAGATCGATATATGTTTGATGTATGCAGAAGAGCACAGTGGCTGAAACGGAACAAAAAAGATGCGGACAATATTCCAGATGTAAATAGTGTAAATAGCTCAGAAATTCATAACTAATTTGCATTCTAAGATAATTTTTTTTCCTAATTACTGCCAAAAGAACCTGCGATATAAAAAAAAAAAAGATTAAGACTAAAAGCTCAACACTATGAAATCATTGATAATTTATCAGTCTATTTATCATCCTCATCTTCATTGCTTTCACAATGTTTCAATCAGTATATTCTCCAATCCTCATCAAATCAAATGGAGTGGAGTTCATAGAGCCAAGTAGGTGAAAGGTATTAACATCAGAAGGTAATTGATCTAAAATATAAGAAGCAGATGGGATTCTTTAGCTAAGGATAGCACCCAACTGTTCTAGTCAAACTCTTCACTCCCTCATGACAACAACTAACACAAATTGCATGCAATATCTGCAGTCAAATTTTTGGGAGAATCAAAGACTATGAGGCTCTTAAGTGCCGAACATACCCACTGTTGTTTCTGGTATTCGGTGAAGAGTTTGTTATCTTCTTCAGCTTCTAGTTTCTTAATTGATGGCTTGCTCACTCGTGGAGATCTTTTTACCTGCACTTCAGGTGGTGACGTTCCCTCACTGCTGCCTTTGTCAGTTTTCTTCACTAAAGGTTTGCTCACTCTGGGGGTTCGCTTTACACTTTGACCCCGTTTTTGAGTGGGCTTCACCTCCATTTTCACTGGCTCTTCTTTGACTGGTTCGTCTGAAAATATACATATATAAAAAAAAAAAACATAAAAAAAATAAAAATCAACAGATATTACAAAAAGGAATTAAGTGTAAAAGTAACTATTCAGTCAGAATTTAAAAGGGGGGGGGGGTGCCACATGCACAAAAATCCTTTCCCCTAATACAAAGTATATATCCAGCCTTTAGCAGAAAAATTATCACATACATCATGTTAGAAAACTAGAAATAAAACCAAGAATATTTTCCAATCAGTGAACAATGTTGATGAATATGAAATGTTTAGCCTCTCTTTGATTGATGAATCATTTTGATTCAAGATGTAACAATTGGGAGAAAGAAAGAAACATTACTTTCTTATGAAAAGCAAGTAAATGAACAATTTAAAAATTTAAATGAATAATTCAATTAAAATGAACTTAAAATTCAATTAAAATCTACAATTAGTTATTAAGGATGACATTAACTGTCATTTACACTAGTTACTGATCATACATTATGAAAGATTTACATCAGTTCTCCTTACTAAAAATTAGTTGTCCTGATATATATATATCTCACTGTTTATAATATACAGTAGGAGGAAACAAATATTTGTACACATACAAATTTTAATTTATATTTCCAACTAATGAATAAACATACTTTTTATATAATTAACTGTAGACAGATGCATAATAACTAAATATGCATAAAAAACAGAAAAAAAAAAATCTTGATTTAATAGAAATAAATCCCATTTATACATTTTAATAGATGAAAAAGATATTCGTACAATGCAAATTTCAGATTTTAAAACTTTAAAATTACTTTAATACTATAGATTATTCAAGTGGAATATTCTAGAATGTTACAATAATTTTATCAGTGTTATTTTTAGCCTAAACAATACAAACATAACATTTTGTAATTGATATTCACGCAAGAAGGTTTTCATCATGGCAAGAGGTAAAGAACTGACAAATTTGCAAAAAGAACTGATTATTAAGCTCTTGAAAGATGGTAAAAGTCACAGGAAAATCTCAGATAATTCGAATAGTTTTTTTACTATCATTAATTCATTCACTGCAAGTTATAAAAAAAAAACTCAAAACTGTTGAAAACCAAGATTTCATAAAGATCTTTGAGGAAATTAATATGTCAGATTAAACAAAATCCAATGGATACTCGTCAAGAGTTGCAGAATGATTTGCTTTCATCAGGAATCTGTGTCACTAAACAGACAATAAGCAATGAAATTCATAGGAACAATCTAAAGTCATGCTCCCCTCGGAAAACTCTACTGCTATTGAAAAGACACAGAGGTGCCAGCTTGAAATTCATTTGTGAACAGAACATAAGGATAAGGAAAAATCATATTGGTAAAGAGTATTATGGAGAGACAAAACCAAAGTTTAGTTGTTTGGACATAATTCTAGAAATCATGAATGAAGGAAAGATAGTGATGACTTCAAAGAAAAAGAAAAAACAAAACAGTTCCAACAGTGAAATTTGGTGATGGCAGCATCGTAGATGGGGGATGTTTTTCTGCAAAAGGTACTGGCAACATATCAGTAAAAGATGGTAGAATGAATGCTGCAGCATATCAAAATATTTTGCAAGTAAATTTAATGATTTCAGTTGAAAATCTTGAACTTCCAACAAGATAATGATCCTAAGCACACAGAAAAATCTACAAAGAAATGGCTTGCTAAAAATAATGTAAATATCCTGAAATGACCAAGTCAGTCACCAGATTTAAACTCAATCGGGAATATGTGGAGTTATTTGAAAATTCAAATCCAATCAAGAGCACCAACAAACATCCTGGATCTGAAGGCCATATGTGAAGAAGAATGTAAAAAAATACTAAGTAAAATTTACAAATCGTTAATTGAGAACTACAAGAAGAGGTCAGTTGCTGTAGAAGTGAATAATGGCTATTCTACAAAGTATTAAATCAAGATTATGTACTCTTTTTTGAAGTATACTAATACTTTTTTCACCCATTAGAATGGATAAATGGTATTTATTTCTATTAAATCAAAATATTTTTTGTTTTCTATGCATATTTAGTTATGGATCTGTGTAAGGTTAATTATATGAAAAGTATGTTTATTTATTAGTTGTAAATACAATAAATAAAAAAAAATTGTATGTGTACAAATATTTGTTTCCCCCCACTGTGTGTATATATATATATATATATATATATATATATATACACACACACACACACATATTTTAGTATCCTTAAAAGGAGGTTACAAACAAAGGTGGTACTCGAGTGAAGGAACAGCAACACGCACACAGATGAAAGAGGTTTATTGTAAAAGAGAATACACTACTGAAAGACAGGGAATTGAGTGGCAGGCTAGTAATTCCTGAAACAAGCCCCCAGGTATATCCTGTGCTCACCATATATATATATATATATATATATATATATATATATATATATATATATTATACACACACACAACCCCCTTTTACACAGACAAAATGTTGCTAGCCTCTTATTACTGGATCACTATTTCTATGGAAAATGTTCACACAAGTTACATTCTTTGATTCCACTAGTTTGGTCATATTTTTACAGCTAGGATATGCTATATCATATATACATATATTCCATTAATAAGGAGGAAGACCACTTCTTCAGAAGTGTTATGCTGTAGAACAAACTTCCAAAATCTTGTTTCCACAACCATTACAATTCTAACCTCTCAGAGTCTGGGGTCAACCATTACCTATCCTCATAATATGCACCCTTTACTTCCCTTTTATATCCTTATAACGACCTTATTCAATAAGCATCTACCTTGAGTGGCTCTTGGTCTTTTTAATGGCTGAACAATAGTAAAAAATAGTCTAAGAAAATGAAAGGATTATTTACATAAGGACTGCCCCCTCTGCCAAGAATCAGAGTGTCTTTGCACCCCACACTTAGAATAAGTAGGTGTGTATCCAGTTTAGGATAAATATAACATGAGCACTTTGTAAAAATTGTTGCATGCACAATTTTATACCCAGTATATATTTAGGCAGCAATAATCCATTTAAGCAAAAACATTAAACCTGAATCATAATATTGAATCTGAATGTGAAGCAACCTATTAAAAAAAAACAAAAAAAAACTTAAACAGGCCATGTCGAGGGAATTTAATACTACTTGTTTTAAAAATAATATTAAAATACATAAAATGCACAAGCTAGTGAGCCTTCATTTGGAGATAGCTGGCACCTATAGTGCCTGAAGATCAACAGGTGAAAGTGTCATCACACTATTTAATATTATCTTAGGTTTCTGGGTTTTAAAATTCAGCAAGTTTTTATCTTTTTTATAATCCTGCGTTATTAAGAACACTATATATCTCACACATTTCTCTTCATATATGCGGACATTTTCTTAAAAAAGTGTTGCAAAGTTATTGAATAAACAACTAATATTTTTATTTTTTTTAATAAAATGTCTGAGCTGTGAGTAAATTCCTATTATGTATTTATTTATTTGTAGTCAAATTACTAAAAATTTGTAAATGGTTTGCTTCAATACACTTTCAACTTTTTTGAAAGAACAGAGAAAATAATAGTAAAAGGCTAGGCTTGAGTTTGAAGCAAGTTTTGTCCCATTGATTCTTTACATCTTACTTGTATTTCCAGCAAAAACGTGCTTCAGTTCGAAATAATGAGGACTAATGTATGTTAACTTTTTACAAACTGATTGATAAATTTTTCTTTTTTCTTTAAATTAATGGGATTTTATTTGCTAGGATCCAAAATGTAATTAAAAATATAAAAGAGTAATTTGAACTTTTCTTTTTTGTCTTACTGCTTTCTCCCCCACCCCAAACAAAAACTTTAATTTAGATATCTGCATTAATCTTCCTTACAATTCACAGCTAAATATCAACAATTTTTCATGATCAGTGCCTAAAGTAAAGAACTGAATGCCAAGAGACCATAAGGATCCATTGCAAACAATGTTAGTAAATCAAATAATCAGAATCTCTAACTTTGAACCACAATATTGCCCCTTTTTTTTGAGTAATCAGTCTTGTATGATATTTCAAAGATATAAATAACTACTGATTAAGTTTCATCCTCTAAAAACCAAACTTAACAAAGATTGTTATCTAAGCTATAATACTGAAACTAGTTTCTATTTGGCAACATTGTAGAAACTAAATATCACTGATATGTATGAACAGGTTGCTGAAAAGTTCCCAGCCTGCCTCACTTCTCAAAATCTAATCAAATAATCAACTTTTCTAGAAGGGTTTTTTGGTCAGCCCCTCTTCATACTATTTTTATTCACTTCATGAAAATAAAACTGCTTTTAATAAGAGCCTTTCTTCAAAATTCCTCCAAAGTTTTAGGACAACAAAACATTTTGAATCATCACTAAAATTAAACTTGAAAGCTATTGTTAAAACAAAAACTATTCATACAGATAACTTAGGTTTCAAAAGAATTTGGCATGAATCTTGGTAGATAATTTACTATCCAATACAAAAATTAATTTAAGCAAAAATAATCTGTATTTCTAAAATTGAGCAGAGGCCCTAAGTAACTTCATTTGTTTTTTTTTTATTTTTTTATTTTTCTATTACTTTATATTGGATAAAGTTCAGAAAATTTTCTTGAATTATTTTCAAGAAAAAAAAAAAAATATTCAGTTGCTAAAATTCAATTTAGAAAAGAAATTTGGGGAAATATAAAAGTTTTTTTTTCTAATTTGATTACATAGATTTACCAAAGAATGAATACCTACCCATTCCTGATAACAATGCAAGTATTATTTTTTTTCTGCAAACCATCAATGAAATTCACCTATGGTATTAATATTCATTAAAAAAATCTAACAGAAATGTTACAACATCAAATATTTAAGCAAAAAAAGATGATTTAATGATTTACACTTTAAAATGTAAGAGGGGAGAGGAGAAAAAACCTTTTTATAATGTAGTTAATTCTTTTATATTGTACAAAAATTAACCTAGGGAGAAAAAAAAAAAAAAAAGGAGAAAAGAAAGT